ATTGATTGATTGATTGATTGATTTATAGATTGATAGATTGGTTGATTGGTTGGTTGGTTAGTTGGTTGATTAATTGATTGATTCTTAAGTGTTTTTTTTTTTCTTGCGTCCTTGTATCACAGGAAGTTTGTGTACGAAATGATTCTCCTTGTGGATCCACTATTGGACCAATACTCTCCGCCAAGCTTGGTCTTTTGACTTTAGGTTTGTGATTTAGATACTTACGCGTTCTGCGCTGAAAATAAAGAGAATGATCGCCAAGCAAGGAGAGTTTCCTTTAGAGAGTAGTAAGTTACTCTCCTGAGGAACTACATTTTGGTTTTGTTTTTTCAGGCTTTTGCTGTTTACCTCTTAGTACCTAGGTGAACTTAAGCTCGTTTCACCTGGAATACAACACACGATCAAGTCGTGATTTCTCTGTAATGCCATTCCTAGAACTGATAGGAACTAGCTAAGATAACTGATATGTTCATGTCTAGATATCGGTGGCCCACAGCTCGCTATGCATTCCATCCGTGAGATGTGCTGCTCATCCATTATTCACCAAGAGACTCAACTTTTCAAGGTGACCACTTCGAATTCCGTCAAGAACTGTTCTTTTCTGCTGTTCTGAGTTGTCACGCAACGTAATGCTGTCTTGGGGAGAATTTTTGCGTGACAAGCCAATGAACTGGATTCTTTTGAAATTTTTTTGAGGGAATTAACAAATTACATTTTTTTTAATTGTTCTATTTTCTCCACAGAATTACTTCGAGACACTTTCATCAGTGCTAGAGTCCGTTGCAGGAGCTGACTAAAATCAAACGAGTGTCACTGCTTGAGTTTAGTCACGGTTACTTTGACGACGTTAAAACGGTGTCGCAGCTCTCCCAGCAATCTTGATCTCTCTTTCTCTTTCTTTCTATGTTTATGTTTTTGTTCATCGATAGAAAGTTTAACAGTAAGAAGAGACAGGTTTTTTTGTGTCAAATTATCTCTCTCACGGTCTAGTAATTTATCCTTGAACAAACGAGAAAGACCATGTTTGACCACATTTCCAAACACCGAAGAAAGAGTTGAAAATAAGACGCGCAGCGGGGTATTTTTGACGAACTTCGAGGTGTTCGGGAATGTGGTCAAACACTGTCTTGAAAGTTTGATATATCTTCTCAATTGAAACTAAAACTAGGGAGTAAACGGAGAAATAAAATCGTAAAATCTACGCTAATTAAGATCAGATATCCAAACACCGTCACGATCATGATTTCTTTTAGCTAAACTTGATGAATTATTAATGAGTTTGAGAACATAGTTTACTTGGACGTCACGCATTAAGTGTAGCCACTACGTTGAAACAGAACAGCATTGCGTGACAACCCAACTAGGACAACTAGCAGCAAGCTGAGCCGAGAGGTGTTTTCTTATCTTGTGGTACTCAAGGCACTAAGCCAAAACACGGAATAACACAACTTGTGAAACAATAGAATGTAATGTTAATAAATATGAAGCCAGCTGTGCTGAATACATTCTCTGTTGCTGTTTGCAGTACAAGTTCTACCCGGGATTCGAGGTCGCTCTCTCTCGGCAGTCCCTCCTCTCCCCGAATAAAAGGGAGTGACCTTGGACTGTCTGAGAATCAAGCTGTTCACGTTTCGCGACATTGTGAGAAAGGGAAAGGCGAGGGAAGAAGGAAAGAGGACTTATTCAAGCAATACAGCTAGCGCGCGAAACTGACGAATCTTGAAAATAATTTGGTTTGCTCATTTCTTGCTCACATCTTTTATGGTGCTTCATCCGATTTCGCCGATTCGATGTTGCAGTCAAACCCCTATTGAGAGGCCACCCTCGAGGAAATGGAGGAAGCCGCTCTTTAGGGGTTGGTCGCTTAAAAGGGGTTAGTGCATTTCGAAAACAGAATTTACCATCTGGTTAGTTTCTTAGTGAACATAGAATAGGCCCTTTGCACGATCCGGTCACATGGTACAAAATCACACATGCTGGTGAGCAAGTTCCGCAGTGGGACTTCCAAAACAAAGGTAGGTCCAGGTGGACTGGTACGAGTGGCGTTGTTTTGGAAGTCCCACTGTGCAATTTGCTCACCAGCATGTGTGACTTTGTACAATGTGACCGGATCGTGCAAAGGGCCTATCACGTCAAAGCAATCACGATAAACTTGCGTTCGAATATTTAATTAGGCGTCACTTTCTATTTCGGACTCTTATCCGTCGTCATCTTTTCCAAACCGAAGCTGTACTAGAAAAATAGACTATAGAAAACCCCATCGAGACGAGCAAACGGTAGCCGCGGCCACTCTATATACACTGTACTAAACACTAAATAATTCGTTGGCGGCTAGGCTTTGAAACGCCATCTTCACTTTGCGTCACGGTCATTCGCGTGGCGTGCGTTTTCATTTCATAACTTACGCAAACTAAATCACGCAAGGATTCAGTTAAATCGCAGGCCTAAGATGTTGGGACCCAGTTAGTAAAATAACATAACTTGTAAAAACGTGTACTATTTTAAAAACTAGAATTACTAGACTTTATGTTCTTTGGCTGTGGCCTTGATCTGTTTGCCGTTTCAACTGTGTATCGAGTGACGCCTTCTAAGTCACGCAAACCTCTGCATATGTAGTACTTTGTCAACCAGCTACAATCTTGGGCAATTTAAATGAAAAATTAAGACCACCCCTCCCCCATTCTAATGATGAGAAAAATGGTGCGTTTGGGTATAACGTCAGTTCATCATTGATTGGAGAGGGGGGGGGGGGCGGGTAGGGTGGTCTTACTTCTTATTTTATTCTGACCGAGATTGTAGCATGCCAAGAACGGGTCAAGGTACATCAAGACAAATAATGATTTTAAAATAGACACGACGTCATGTGTGATGATCACGAGCTGTTTAAGAGAGGTCAGTAGCTTTCACTTTCGAGTTTCCTGATTTCCTTATTGATTGCAAACTGGTCCGTTATTCAGTGTTGCTACTTTGCTGAATTCCTCCAGAATTTTTCGAAACGGTGAGTATACTATAGTTAACATTTCTATTCTTTGTTGCATGTTTTGTCAGATAAACTAAATTAAACGGAATTTGCATGCAGAACACAATCACAATATTTTATCGAACATGTTTTTGAACCAGAGGTGCCCACGAACAATCTATACGTCATATATAAAGAGCGCCCGATCGCAGCTTATCATGAATATTGAATTCAAGGTACAGTTCACTTATAGCGAACAAAAGATTCCAATTAAATTCCATCGGTAACTGTTTTTGTTTCCAAAAACAGTCGCTTGTGGATAGCGAAGAAAATCGACGGTCGTCAGCCCTTGCTGCGACCGAAAACTGAGACGTCGAGAAACATATCATATACCTACTATGCATACTTGTCATATGCATAGTAGGTTTATGGAGAACTTCTTTCTATAATTCGCCGTTCTCTAATCTCCGCGTCGAGAAAGAGGGACGAGACTGATCGCAAATCGAATCCAGTGGTCTACGGAAGAGCATTTTTCTGTTTATGTGATTTTAACAAACAAATCGATTCGCGAAGCAGTCAGAGGAAAAACTAAAGCCTTTAGAGTCTGTAAGCATTCTCTTGTCGCAAGCTCGATTTTGACTTTTTTAATTTACAGAAAACAAAAACGGCTACAAAAATTTTAGATATATAGACAAATAAAATAGCGAAATTTCTGTACATAATAATTCCCCAATAAGGTCAAAGGCTCTGTGCGCAAACCCGTCGATTTCCCAGTGGATGATGATTGACATGTGTGCTTACGGGTTATTCTCAGAGTTATAAGAGTTACCATATTGACCTCTGGCGATACTTGTTATAACAGCAGTCTTTAAAAAAAAAAAAAAAAAAAGAAGAAAAAGGAAAAACAGAAAAAGGAATGACTTTTCGTGCATACTATACTACATGAGTTACAAGAACTGGCAGACCTCCGCTACATGAGCTGCATTGCCTTAAGCTTTGGGAAAAGCTCCTGTATACTTTCAATTTTACTGGACACAAAACCTTACTCCAAAGATTTCATATCTGTCACAATCACGCATCGGCCCTTGCTCCTCAGTTTCTTTTTGTTTTGTTATACATCGCTTTCCTTTGGTTTTTCCTATTGTTGACTACCAGCACATTCGGCGATTTCTTTTATTTTAAATACTTTTCTCGTGGCTGCCTTTTATTAACGCAGCACGTTTTGCAAATTATTCGATAGTGCCTGAACTTGACAGATCTCCAAAAAGAAAAGCAATAGAAATACAAAAAAATGATGGCACACTTTGAGGGATTGATGCTTTGTGATTAACACTGCACAGTTACTTTACATCAACGATCCCATTTGATATCCGATTAATTCGCGCTGTAAATGTCAGTCAGTCATTTTGACGTTAACCACTTCTTCCGCCATGGGAAAGCAATAGCCAAAACAGAACGAGATTTGATCGAATTCTACATTTCATAACCTTTCTATTTAACATTTTACAATAACAAAGCCCCAAAATGGTCAAATGCCTGGAATAAATGAGGGGAAAAGATGCCGTAAACTTGCCGTAAACAAAGATAAGCGGTTTTATTCAAAATGATGCGGACATTGTCAATAGCTTTTCTCGCTTTTTGATTGGCTGCGTAAAAAAGTCCATAAAATTTCATTGGTTAAAAAGTTGACAGTTTGACACCTGAAAGTGGAACTTGAAAGCTTGCATAAATTAAAATTTTATCCTTCTGTACTCTTATTGATGATGAAAATGAGCCAATCAGCGCGCGAGAAATTGGACAGTTATTGTAAAATGATTTAGAAAACAGTCCTAAGAAAATACGCGCGCTGATTGGTTAAAAATCGTGTTTCTATAACTCGATAGAAACACAGAACTAGCACGAGCTGTTGACGTAATGATGGCGCGAGCAAAGAGAATTTACATTTTGACTAAATCAAAGTTAACAAGTTGATTTCTTTTTTTTCGTCGCGGTGTTTTCTAAAAGAAATAGAAAACATGTTTTCCGTGTTTCTATCGAATGATAGAAACACTCGTGAAAGTTTGGGAAAACTCGGAAAAGCTGTGGAAACACTCGCCTGCGGCTCGTGTTCCCACAGCATTCCTCGTTCTCTCAAACTTCCACTTGTGTTTCTATAACTCGATAGAAACACGGTACATGTTTTCTATTTCTTAAATATAGTTTGTGGGGTTTCCTTGAAATCAGCGCACGTATGAATTTTTTTTTCTTGAGGACACCTGCGAAGGTTTGGAATAACCTTAACGGTCAACGCACACACATCAAGACTAATACTTACACAATACCTTGAGAGGGCTACTTTTGCCGAAAAGTTTCTTTTTAAACGTAAAGAAAGGTTGCTATAAAATCTACTATTTTCCAAAAACTGCAAGTAAAATCTTAAAACGCGCACGAATTATATTTGGAAAAAAGGTTCTCTAATAAAAGTTAATAAAACAGTTAGGCGTCATAATCCTCATTGCGCGTCGACATTTTGCGCGAAGCGCCTCCATATGTCTCGGAGCTCTTATTACAAGGGTCTCATTAGCACTTTTTGTTTACACTCGATTTCGCAGTTTCGGTTCTCGAATCAATTCGCTCTACCATCCTATCTATCATTCCTTATTGAGGTCATGTGACGTTCTGAAAAAGAAGAGAAAAGTCCTTGGTGCGAAAAAATTGAAGCCAGGACCTAAGAAGAAGACAAAACCCGTACTCTTGCCCCGCTGTTTTCCCCACTTCTCCCAAGCGGTGAAAGTGCCCCTAACCCCGTATGTTGTAATCCTTTGCTGATCGGCCGCGTATAAATTCTTATGACATTCAAGAAGAACTTGGTCTTAATAGTTTGACGAGAAAATAGATGTTGATAAATGCATATTCCAGGCTAAAAGATCAGTTGAAAAATTCCATAAACTTTTTTTTTATTATGTATTCTGTAGAAGTAATAACAAGAAGCTGATCCTTCACACAATTGGCAAGCATGTAAAGAATGTTTTGGCCGAAATTTTATTCTTACACTGTACAAAACACTAAATAGTTCTTTGGCTCTGGCATCTTCACTTGACGTCACGTGGGTGATTCGGGTGCAAACGCAAACTAAATCACGCAAGA